CCTCTAAGCCACCAGATGATGCAGCATTTGATATAATAACTGATGAGGAGCTGTGCCAAGTACAGGAATCAGAGTCTCTGCACAATGAAAGTCAGATGGAGGGAGAGTCTCTGGGTCAAAGCGTGACAGATCTGTGAGTAAACACTGCTTCATGGAGAGCGGACTCTTTTGGGTTTAGTTTGGAATGTTGTGGGGGGGGTTTTGGTGGGGATAGCCAACCTCTGCATAAAGAGAAGACACTTCGGTTCCCTGCCACGTGTTCAGAAGACCAACACAAAATAATTTTGGCCTGTTTGCAGTCAGCATCAAATCTAGTAACTCCAAACAGCTCCATCCTCCCCCTCTACCTGCTGCATCACAGCACAGAGGAGTAGTTCCACTTCTTGTGCTGTCACCCGCCAAGCCATCACCATTAAAATCAGCTTAGAGGCCACACTGTATCACTGGTCATTCACACTTAACTTGTAATAGGAGCTAAGCGATACTCTCTGTCAGACTCACTATTACTTAATACCGAGAGAACAAAGGGGTGCGGAAAAGATAAGGAAAGATTTATTATTTTTATGACAGGCTTCATTGAACTGAATGTAAAATAACTGGTCTGTGTCTGTAGGACTCCTTACTGCTTTGTAGATAACAGCTTACAGAAAAAGAGAACAGAAATTGCGTAGCTAAATCCGGCACAAGTTTGTTCTTTTTTCTTAAGAAAATGAGAGTGAATGCAGGTTTCAGTCGCTTTTTTACATCAGTTTCTACATAAATAAGCAATGAAGAGGATCTAAGGCTATCTGAATATCCAAGCACTTGGTTTGCAAACTATGGCATAGTATTATAGTTTAATGTATATCCATGTTTATACAAAATACTGTTTTACTATTGTTTAAATATTTTCCAAAAATTCTGTTCTGCAAAATAAATAGTCTTTCAAAAACTTTTGTATATTTGAAAAGAAAAAAGGCAATTTCACCTAAATTCTGTTGTTGTTTTGCTTCTGAGCAGAAAAATAAGTGTGATAAATTCAAATGCTAAACTGAAAATAACAACAGAGTAACCAGCCTGCTGCTAGGAAAGCATATCTAGACTTTTTTGCCTTCAGAACACCCATTTCCGGCATAAAACACAGTGACTTGCAATTTTGGTAGAAGGCACATTGTACAGACTTGTTTATTTGGAAAAAAGCCTTTTCAAAATTCTACATTTTTGTTTCTTGGTACATAAGCTCTATGTATTCAGCCTATTTTGTACACTGTTGACACTGAGAGTATATTCATGTTTATCATGCATTGGGCAGACATGAACAAACTGAGCTTCACAATGCTCTTTTGAAGTTAGATGGCCTTTGTTTTGCAAAGGGACAATTTGCAGTGGGGGATTTTTGTTGGTCTTGGTACATTAGCGTTACGAGGCCGGCGAGAGTCCTACTGTGGTCATACTTGGAGCTTGAGATATACTTTGCAGAGAACGCCGACCACACCTGCCCTTCCCTGTGAGACTTGTAATGTTTGAAAGGTCTCACTAGCCTGAACACTGGAGGAGAATGGCCTTCTTAGACTGTGGATGACTTAAGCACCTTGTCTTGGTTGTGTGGTTTTGTGTTACGGGAGAGGTGCAGAAGCTGATACATGAGTCAGATGATGTGTCTCACCAGTGGTATGTGCTTAGGAAAAAAAGCAGAGCGCAGTGTTGATTATGACAGTTTTCTCACTTGTTTCTGTGGTGAGGAGTATATGTGTACCCAAAGTCTGAGCATAGCTTAGCACACGAGCAGATAATGCAGCATTTGATACTGTGAGTGAGGGTAAACATGCCAGAACCACTGTACTGAATGTGAGCAAAGATTCCAGTAACCCTCTGTCCTGTCCTTTACAGCAGCCCTTAGCAGATGTACTGATGATTTCCCAGTGTGTTTTCTCCCATCTTCCTAGGATCTGCAGTTCAGGGACTTTTTGAGCTACTGTTTTCACTGCTGCAGATTTCTTGGCCATACTGGACTGGTGGACCATCTTGACTTCATATAGACCTTTGATCTTTTTTTTTTTAAAGTATCCAGCTAAATGTGGCCTGATTCCTATGTGGAGACTTCAGGTAGTCTTGAAGTATAAACAGTAACCTAATGGCATCCCAATAAGGTTCTCTTTGCATGAAATTGAATATATGGGATAGGATTTGCTTTGATATTGTGCCTGGGGAAGACAGAAAGGATCCAAGATTGTGCTTGCTAGATGGATGTCTGAGGAATGCATACAAATAAGTATGTTTTCAGGCCAGATTTCTTTACTGAGATTCTGCTAGAAATAGTCCAAGCTATTCATTTTTTTTGCCAGAGATTTGAGCTAGTTGGTGCATTTCTAAAAGGGAGGGAGACAAGCAGCCAAGAAAGGGAAGAGAAGGGAGGCTGGCTGGTCCAATTAGACAGAGAGATCTGCAATAGACGTGCTATGTTGACTGAGTTTCTTAAGGCCTTACTCTGTCCAAGTGTCGGGATGAGGTTTCCACACTGGCCTTACCTTATTCTGGGTGTGAGTACTTGCTAGACTGGAAATCGGAGCTGGTGCTTAAAGTGAAGTGTCTGAAAGGACATTTTCTTTTCTATTTGTCCCTTTTGGTGTCTACTGTACTGTTACTCTATTTTTTCACTTGTTCTCTTTACTTAACCCTACCCCTGTAGTTTTTTTTCTTGAAGGGACATGAAATGATTACAACAGCATTACTTCATAACAGCAGATTTTGAGACACTGCCTTTATTGGTACAGTTCAGAACCAAATAAAACTCATTTTAGTCGTGAGCTGCCCAGGTGTGTGGCAAGGTAGGATAGATGTGGTACCAGCAGAACTCTGACCTTGAAGCAGCTCTTTCGTTACGATTAGGATTAAGCAGCAGTTGCTTCATGCTTTCAGGTCTGTTATGTGAGTTTGGAGCGATCTGATTGAAATCTTAATGTGAGAAGCTGCAATAAAGTGTGCAGTTGCGGTACATCTTGCAACTTCAAGGCTCGTGGGTTCTCTTTTGAAGTGTTGTATTTTTAAACTTTTATTTATAAAGCATTCCTATTTGTAGATTGTGTTCTAAAACAAAAGTCAGGATATTGCATAGCACTGGGTCAAAGTCCCCAGGGTAAACCAGTGCACTGTATTTCCATTTTAAAATATTGTAGAAATTACATGCCTGCAATAAATGTTGCAGCAGCAGAATCAAGATCATAGACAGCAGAAGTGTAAAAAAAATTTTAAAAATTTTTTAAAAATAGCACTGCCCTGGTACAGAAACTAAGAGTTTATTCACACCTTGGTAGTGCTTTTGGTGGAAAGGACATCTCAGCCTATCTGCCCTGTAGTTGCTTTGTTTTGGATTCTTTTTTTCGTAATGACTCATAACACTCTGTCCTGACCTAATTACAGCTCACCTAGCCGGGCAGGGTGCCAGCATAGCCAAAAACGGGAACTACACGTGGTCTGAAGCATTCACTGCCCTGTGCAGAACCAGCCGGGAAGAGGAGTGGGGACAGGAGCACCTCTCACCACCCTCTGCTGGCAAAGCCTGCCTTCTGGCTGTGTGTTCAGATACCAGCTTTACTTGCCACACTGATGTGAAAGCACAGCACGTTCCTTCCTACTTTTGTTTTTAAGGATATTGCACCATCTCACTACAGGAGAAACAAGAGAGATTGTGTGTTTAGGAAAGTATTGGTTAAGCAGCTGTTTTCAAGGGGAAAAAGGTGACATGGACAGAGTGGTGCCGATAAGGCACCACTGAGCTGCAGTGATCTGGTAGGAAGGACTGAGTGTTAATGGGGAGAAAAGGAACATCCAGAGTGAGCATGGTTATTGCAAGAATGGTTTAAAACAGGTTAAATCTGGTATTTCAAAGCTGTAATGCAAAGGACTTTCAGCCTTTGGGCCAGACCCAACCCTGCCTTCATCATAGGCAGCCCACAGCTGCATAAAGCCCTCCCTCTGCTCCTCTCCAACATCCCTTCTTTCTTTTCCCTACTCCGGTCTCCACCCCTATTCTGCCACTCTCTCCAAGAGCTTTTGCATCCTTTCTGCCCAAGTCTGTGCTGCCCCCTGTGTACCTTTTTGCCTCCCGCTGGGAAGTGAAAAGGCCAGAGGTGGAAAGGAGGGGCTGCAGCAACAAGGAAGGAGAATGACTAAGGAATCCAGGGTTTCGTGGCAAGGGAACCAGGGTGCCAAGGGGGTGCCAGGAAAAACAGACTGGAAAGATGTCACAGTGCAAAGAATATGTGGGAATTAGGGTGTGAGAGTTTGCGTCTAAGGAAACACTGCTCAGTGTTAGAGCCCATGTGCAGCGTGATATCCCTTGTGTTAACAGGCGGTCTAGTTATCTGGCAACGTTAGCTCTGTTATCAGAAGTAAGATACAAAAATGTGTATGGGAAATTCAGATCATGAACCTGATATTAGATGGAAGGCAGATGAAAATGCTGCTTTATTACAGAAATTTTAGATGAACGCTAAAGGAGTGTGTTGTGGACACCTTCTCCCAAATGGAGAACTACAAAAAACCCACAAAAAACCCCAACCACACATGATACCCAGCATGAACATTGAAATGTGTATGTTTTTAATCCAGGAATTCTCATTAAGTGAATGAGCCACACTAAAATACTTAATATCTTTGAAACAAAACTCATAAATGTTTTTGTTAAAAAACACCTTTCATGGAAAAACAGCAGGGCAGAAGTCTGTAGTCCCTCTGGAGATGTGGAGTCCAAGTTAGCTTTATGGCGTGAAGAAGAGAGTTTTATCTCATTGCTTCTGATACCTTTTGAAGATCTTCTGTACAGTTAACTCTGTTACCAGCTGTATCTTAGGATCAGCTCTGACCAGGAAAAGCAGGAAACGCTGAAGTATCGTGATTAAGATAGGTTGGCCTAAAGCTGATCACGATGTCTTTACTCTCCTCTTTCATGCAGGCTACCTATCTCAGTATTTACAAAAAAAAAAAAAGCTGTGAATAGTTGCCAGATTCTCTAGGCAGTTTTATAGCGGGTACATGCTTGTTGCATCTGCATTATTTGATGTAAAAGTTTTAGAGCCATCCTCTTCAATAGTTTGCAACTGTTTAGCCATAACTTGGCGTTTGATGCATCTTGAGTTTTTAATAATTTTCTGAAAGTTCCTTCTGAATTTCACCCCCATGAAGAAATACAGAACAGGGTTAAGACAGCCACGGAAATAAGCAAGAGCTTCTGTTATGGTGATTGCATATTCAAAGCTGCTGTTCAAGTTAAAGCTCCAGTCTATGATCTTTATCAGTCTCAAGAAAGTATAGGGTGACTGAGTAAGAATAAATATGGCAACTACAGAAAATATTTTTTTTAGAGATTTGTTCTTTTGAAAACTCCTGGCATGCAGTAAGGTTCTAATAATCAGTGAGTAGCAAATGATCATGGCTAGCATGGGAATAAAATAGCCCAGGGTCATTTGGATCGCTTCAAGAATCAGTTCTGTACGATGGCTTGGGTATTCTTCCTGACATATTGCCTTATCAATATTAAACACCTCACTAAAAATAAACTGCGGTGCAGCAAAAGCTAGCGAGATCGCCCAGATCAAGACACAGATTAACTTGCCCCATGTCATTCGCTTGTTTTGACACATGTGTGCTTTGGTGGCAAAAGTAATAGCAATAAGCCGGTCAAAAGTGATAGACGTTAGAGTTAACATTGAAGTGTACAAGTTCAGAATATATAAGCCCCGTATTATACGACATGCCACGGTGCCAAAAGTCCACTCCTGAACAGCAGAGTATGCCCAGAATGGCAGCGTCCAAAGGAAGACCCAGTCAGCTATAGCCAAGTTCAGCAAAAATATATCTGTCAGCATCTTCAGTTTCTCATAGAAAACTAGTATAACAAAGACCAGTGTGTTTCCTGCTAGCCCAAGGATGAAAACGAGCGAGTACATACAGGGCAGAAAGACTCTTGTAAATGTGTGAAAATTCTCGCTTCCGTTCTCGTTGGGATCAGTGATGGAAAAGTTATAGTAAAAGTCAGCAGCGTCTGTTGTTGCCATGTTGCCCTCTTTTTAAAGGGACTCTGTAAGGAGACACATTGAGATTATTTTTTTTACTTACCAAATAATTAAATCCTAACGAATCCAGGAGACAGACAAAATCCTAAGTGCTAACAGATAAGAGCTGTGTTAGAAAATCCAGGACATGACAGACAAAAGCAAAAGCAACCCTGAAGATGGTTGTCTTGACAGTCACAACAGCCAGTGAATTTAAACACATCATCTGTTACCAAATTTGTCCTGAGGGCAACTCAAAAGATAAACAAGACAATTGCAGAGGCTTCCAAAAATGGAATATGGATTAAGCTTTCAAAGACATGAGTGGTTTAGTGTTTGGATCAAGGGATTCTGGAGAAACCTATGAGAGAAGCAGAATTTGTTTTGCCAAATTCAGCCTTTAGGCTCAGGTTGCAAGCTGTTAAGCGTCGGAGTTGTTTGGCTTGGATTGGACCTGTCTCGAAAAGTAGGGTTTGAGTCTCAGCGAGCGCTTTAGAGCTTGTGATTCAGCATTAGCTTGCTGTTCAGATGTTAGTCACATCATCAGATGGTGGCACTTCTTCCTTTCCCCTCCTCAAGTGACTTACTGGAAACATGGAGGACATTCATTAATGTCTCTTCCCCATTTGATTTTAGTTGATCTGTTTCAAATATTTGTATTACTGTCAGAGGAGTGACCACTTCTCTGTCAGCCCCCCTCGGTCACACCCCCTCTCCAGAGCTGATGCAGTATCACAGCATCCGCTCTCCAAGGCAAGGGGCAGTTTCCTGTCAGGGCTGTGCCAGCGCGTAAGAGTAACAACAACCACCCGATTTGCAAGCTGTTTAACTTGTAAATAAAGTATTTTGTGAGGTTAATGGGGTTTTCAAAGATTTAGCCTAAGGTTAAATGTCGTCCCTCTTGAGCTACAAAGAGCATGTTTCTATGGGACTAATTCTACTACGAGATTTTACTCAGCGTAAGGTCAGCAGAATTCACCTCTGAATCATTTAGATTGGCAGAAGGCATCGCCTCTGTGAGTTATAACGTGCAGCAGATTGAATGTTACCTGAAAAAGTAGTTTCGGTGGGGCCAAGAAGCAGTGCCAGTGCAGTCTGTTAGTTACCCCTTTGAAAAGTTACTGGCTATAAAACACTTTACTTTTCAGTTCAGATGGAGGTGAAACGTGGGATGAAGATAACCTGCAGAAGTAAGTTAGACAACAACATCAAGGCAACGCATACTGAAACATACAAAAGCACTGCGTTTTATTTTATGTAGTCTTGGCAACAGCAGTCAGGGGTGTTTCTCACCTCTTTCTTGAAAAGGAAAGGTGTTTTCCTGTAAGCTGAAACAAAGTAATTACCAGGCACTCAGTTTTGTAGTTTGACAACATAACATTGCTAGTAGCCTTACTAACATAGTACTGATCTTTCTGGTGTCCAAGCTTACTGGAAATTAGCCTTTAGGAGAGTCTTATTGATGCTTTCAAAGAAGAATTTTTAATACCTGCTTTTAATCCATAATAGGTTTTTTCCATAGTAAGATAACAGCATTCACTCTCTGGACAGACCAAAATATTTAAAATTTTAACTAACTTTTTTCCTATTACATTAATGTTCTTCACAGGAATTTTTCAAATTCAGGCAGTAATACCTTGATTTGTTTTTTGGTGAAAGCAGATGGGAATTTTATTATGGATTTCATACGGAAGTCAGACTTGGGTAATTTTTGAGCTCCAGCTGTGAAGAATTTTCCTATATACAAATAGCAGGCACTGGCTTCTGATGTACTTGTCTCCTGCGCATGCTAACATGAGCAGATTTGCATATCGATGGAGAACAGAATGCTGCAGAAGAGATCTTTCTAAGTTAAAAATGTTTTTTAACATGTCATGCGCATTACGTTTCTGCTTGTTGGGCTTCTAAACTCAGGATTTATGGATCATATTTTAGGAAGGAGGTGAGGTGACTGACACCATCAAACAGATCACAAAGGATTAATGGAAGTCCTTGAAGGTGACCTTTCAATTTATGCTCTAGAAAGTTATTTTCATGTTACTTTCTTGTGATGTTAAAGGCCTTAAGTTTTCTTTCTTTTCCTTCTTTCTCCTGTCTGAATATAGCCATTTAAGTTTCTTCTTGGTTTGACAGCAGGAGAAATGAGTCTCAATTGCCTGACTGATTACCAACCCCTCTGGGGGGAAAAAAAAAAAAAAAAAGAAAAAAGTCCTACATGCAGAAAAATAGGTCAGCCTTGCAGAACTGTACACTCATTTTCGAGGCAAAGTCAGGTGTGGAAATTTCTAGCCCAAATATTTTTTTTTTCCTTTTTTATTATGCTGGAGAGCAATAAGGAGCTAGAAAGCTGCTAAAGCTCAAAACTTTGTCTCAACTGTTGTGTTGCAGACAAGCTGAAGTTACAGCTCAGAGTTGTTCAAGAAGGCTCTGTTAAAGGCTGATCTTGTATTATGAGGCTGAACAGTTTCTGGATCAGCTGACCATGTCTGCCAAATATTTTCAATCTTTGCTAATGAAAATGTGCTGCAAGTGTGTATAAAGTGGCATGGAAGTTAAAAACATAGGGGGAGATCCTTACCTTTTGCAGACCACCCTCTCCACTGAAACACACAAAACACAGACCAGCAAGCGATTTTCCCCTCCCCACCATTCCCAACGGATGGTAATTTTTAAGAGTAAGAAAGTCCAGCAATTTCCTTTAAAAAGGTTTTCATTTATTCCTGATGTATTGTTATTATGTTACCTGATATTTTTTGAGCCAGAAGCTCTTAAAGCAACTTGCCTGTTACTCACACACCTAAGTTAGAATCCACATTGTATGCTGTCTCAAACTTCAGAGGTGTTACGCCTTGTCAGACAAGTCATTCACGGAGTTATTCCAGCTTTCCTCGAAGGAAAGAACAGTAGTAATCTTTCTACCTGAAGTGAGGTAGTAGGAAAGGATTGTGTTAGGTAGATAGGAAGGGAGGAGCAAGAAAATTTCCTGATCAGGGGAATAGCAAGTGGGATTAGTTTATTTGCAGGGAAATGTTGTTAAAGTCTGTATGGACTGAATCTAGGTTCTAAAAAAATCTGGAAGTTTAATAGAAGCTTAAATTGGATAGGAACAACATCATGGGTAGAAAAGTGAGTTAGAGCGAGCCATGCAGTGTCCAGTATGTTAATACAGGATTTGCATTGAGGTCTGGTTCTGTTACAATTAACTCTCCAATTAATGAAATGGAAATGCAAGCAAGTAATGGAGAGTCAGAACAAGCTATTCTGGTGTGCTCCAGCATAGATAGTTCTCCTCCTGTCACCAGAAGAAGGCTGCTTATCATTTCTACCACTCTTGGAATTGGGTATCCCAGGGGCGGGTAGTCTCAGTATTACAGGGATTTCCCCCATTTTGGTCTCCATGGTCTAATTTCTGTTGTGCTGATCAGCTATCCTGCGTTAGTAGCTGCACCTGAAAAGCAGGGTGTAAAAAGCAGTACCAATGATCTTGCCAGCTGTTCATTTCTGTTGTCTCAGGGTTCCAAACAGAAAATCCAATATAGATGTCTTTTTTTAAATAAATCTAAATAAAAAGGAATGTTAGCATATAATAAAAAACAGTATACTTTGCCATGACAATAAGTACAGGCTATAAACAGAAAAAGGTACATAATGCTCGTCAGCATCATGTGGTGTGCCTTGCTTAGAAATGAACCGACTTCATTACAAAAGGATTTTGAGACTGTAATCAGAAAAGGTGTGTTAGAAGAGATGAGAAGTTTTCAAACACATACCAGTTGAGAAAACAGATTCTAGAGCATAAATGGAAAGGACATAATTAACATACACCCTCTGAGTTCCAGATATCATAAAAATTTTAAAGACCTTTTTTGAAAAGTAGCAAGCGTAGATCAAAGAGCTACTGCAATAACAAGGCATTGGAAAAGATTTAATAACAAAACTAGAATGCAAAATCAGTATCTTCAACAGTCTGAATAACCCCCCACCCTTTCTCTTTAATCTTGCATGTCAGGATGGAGGATGTGTATGATACTAACAAAATCTTTCGAGTTTGACTATTTCTAAACGTTAAAGCTTTTGGTTTTTTGTTTTTAAACTTTCTACCTATTCACCCGAAGTCAAGAAAACAGTCACTTACTATACGATGTCACATCGTAGGGGAACACAATCGTCTTATCTTTCAAAGGAAATGTGAAAGCAGCAGTTTGCTTTATTTATCAGTGCTGAAGCCTGTGCCGCTGCCTCACAGCTTTCATAGTTGTTGTTGACCCAAGCAACAGCCACGCAATGTGGTTACCCCTTAATTTTATTCTTGAGTGATAAGTACTACAGATATGATAATATAAACAAGCTGTGCTCTCAAGATCTGATTCAAATTCACTTACATGTGGCCATTCATCTGAAATGTCCAGAATCAAATTGATTTTTTCAAAAAATATTTACAGAATTAAAACTTAACCTGTATTTACCACTATTTTTAACCACTCCTACATATTTTGTGACAATACTGGATTTTCCAATTCCTTCTAGTTTTTCTATTTTTTCTGGAGCAAAAATATTCTAGTGACAATTTTCTCTCAGATTTTTTGCCCATCCGAGATGAGCTAGAGATGGCTAGAAAGGTATTGTGTTGGTGACCATCCCCGAGTGAGTTTTTTACCTTTAAGGCAATCTCAGCCCTGGTTAAAGCTAGTGTGTGTGCTAAATTTTCTTTTCAGAGTCAACGAAAGAAGCTGGGAGGGTCTCCATACATTTACAAGGGAGCCGGAGGGGGCCTACCCAATGCAGGGGTAACTATATTCACTTGCAACAAAGGCAGGGGTGGGAATTGAGTTGCAACCTATGGATACAAGATCTGGGAGAGAAATAGTTGTGAGGAGGCTCTTGATGCAGGGAAGTGGAGGTGCCTGAGCAACGCTGCTCAATGAAGTGATACTCTGCTGTTGTTTATCCCTGCTGTAATTAGGGGCATCTTTTGTGCACTCCTTGTAACTAAACTACATGCC